TAATACGTCAGTATGATGAGATTATTGAGATGTTACATTATAGAATACGTCAGTATGATGAGATTATTGAGATGTTACGTTANATTCACATTGTCAGACCGTGTATGTGTGGACGTAAACACAAAAACAAAACCAAACACGACTTTTATCAAAATTTTGATACAATGTCTTTTTTTATTTAATACAACAGAGCTAAAATTAACCAAATAATTCCCGGATTTCGTAAGAAAGTCGAATGTTTCAAGTGTTAGAGAACAATACAGGACAACAACGACTCGTAAACATCAAACTTACATACGTTGTTATATATACACCAATTATAATAATAATTCAGCTGGAATCACTCCAGGTATCACAATTTCAAAAGCATTCAATTCGATTTGTGTTTATGAAAATATGAAACATTTATAGTAAAATCGATTGGCAAAAATGTTGGGTAGGTTTTACAAAGACCCTGTGATGTTTAAAACATGTTTTAGCTCATTTAATATGAAAAAATAAGAAATTCTTCTGTGTAACAAAATTATAACAAATATGTACATGTGATCTATATGACAGGTGAATAGCAGACAATGTATCTATGACTATACTTATTTGAAATAATATACAGGATGATCTTTGTCAATCCTTAACGTTTTATTTTAGGTTGATTTTAATGCATTATATTCGTATGCTTTTGATGATCAAATATATAAATTTTGAATAGAACTCAAAACCCTTTTGACGTTTTACAATATAATGCTGTCACAACGTTTACAACGTAACACATTTGTGTTAACACTTTTTAATTGTGATCAATCGCAATAATTAGTGACAATCTTGAAAGCGAAGCTAATTTAAAACATTATTATCTAATATTTCCAAGCGTAATCACAATACACACCGGTGTTAATGGGGCTGTTTTCCTATCGACAGCCATATGTTTGGATACAATTAAGTACACATGTAATGTTAAATATAAACAATTATACTCTATAACATCAAACACTGCGTGTGCCGACTTTCGCGACATGTCGCTTTTATAGATAACTAATCTGATGTCCACTATTAGTACACATTTAACACAGTTTTCAGTAGCATCCTGGACTACAATGAATGTTTGTAGTTGGTACAGTATTATAATATTACCAAGCATAGGTAAATGCACCCAGCAAAAATGTTTCACATTTAAACTATAATTAATCAAGCTGCATTAATAGTGTATAACGAAAATCAGGACAAAAAATTAACATCAAAACTTATTTTTCTGTTTTCATGTTCAATACTAATCATTACACATTATGATATGATATATGAGAAAAATATGAAGAAAACCTATATAGTAAGGCTGGCATGGCAGCCAATCAAAACCAAGGACACATCGTGGTAACCATAGCATTGAACAAGGCTGTATCCGAGGAAAGGCGCATACTTATAACACAGAGGAATGTAAACAAGCACAAATAGAACGCAGAAGAGAGACTGTATTGATGGTGTGATTATGATAAATGAATTAAATAAAATTGTTCCTTGCTTATGCTGAGAATTCCACAAACCTAGTTATCTTAAACTTCAAAAATGTATCATTAATACGTTGAATATTAAATGCTAAATGTACAATTCAATAAACAAATTGGATCATATTTTGGCTCAACCCTTAACTTTTCTCGTGAAAAATGATTCCGTTTCTACAACACTAGTAAAGTTGCTGAATTATTGATTGTGACGTCAGTCACTTTCTATTAAAACCGCCTGTGACGTCAGTCACCCCTTATGGACACTGTTTAATTGGTCTATAGTTTCTTCTCGTGTTTACACAGCACCTTCACGACTGATGGCAGTACACAAACAGAAACTGAAGATCACACACAGCAACTGGAAAACAACAGGAATGATAATAAAAATATTGTTATTATAATTCTTGATAAATAACTTTAAATGGATACAGCCTCAAAACACTTTCAATATTGTCTTTCTGTCGATATCAGCAAAGATATAGAGTTCAGTCATAGCGATTGGTTGTCTTGTCTTAAAGGAGCCTTGTATATTTAAGATGCTGCAGACAGATTTGTTTTTTACGACACAAAAATGTGCAGATATTGAAAATATCATTGAATTTGAAAATATAAAATTAATTATCAGTGGAAGATATTCATCGAGAAGTAGTTTTGAAAAGAAAATGAGCCAGATTTTAAAAATCCCGACTGATTGTATACAGTCAACATAACTATTCCCTCTTGTTACGATACCACGACT